CTTGGTGCTGCCCTGCTCTCCCGCTCATCCCAGCGCAGGCCGCTGCCCGTTATTTCACGCCATTTAGGAGTGCAACTTGTTGCCAAGGCTTTTCTAGCGCGCTTTTCCTCCTCCTCTGCCAGCGACAGCCGCTCGCTGCTGACAAAGGAGCCTGGCGTGATCAGAAGGCCTCGGTTACTAAGGTAGCCATGGAAACAGCCTCCTTGGAGGTCTTTGTTGCCTGCTAAAACTTTGATCCCCAAGAAGGGCTGCTCCTGTTCCTCCCTCCCATTGACAGAGGGGAAAGAAGGATGAGGAGAAAGGATAAAGTTTACTGCTAGCCGAGAGCGCGGAGGAATCCATTGCGGAGACGTGCTCTCTCAATAAATCTCGCCAGCAGCTTCCTTGGAAAAGTACCTGATTTACAAGGGCCACACTTCCCCTTCTGTGCTATCCAGCCTCCCTGTGGGGCCATGTCCGATGCCAGGAGCCTGTGGCCATGGCATGACCTGGCACATTTTTTTTGCTGCTGAGGAAGAAATACTTTCCTCTGTAGCTGCTGCCTCCTATGCTCCTCACAACTGCTGCTAGGACAGTGGAAGCAGCCCCCAACAAGGGAGCATATGCAACATTTTTTCCCCCATATTTACTTAATATTTATCTTATTTGTGTAATTGCCAGTATTTCCCTGTTTATCCAATTGCCACATTCCTGATTGCAGCTTCTCTTACTTTACTTGTGTTCAATCATTTCATTTCAGGTGCAGCACTTAATTATTTACGTGTCTTTTCTCTACAGAATCTCTGCTAAGTATCTGCTTGACTCTAGTTTCTCTGTGCTTTATCATCTGCCCTTCCCCTGCATATTAAGTTCTCCTTAGTCTGCTCCTTTTGTATGTTGGCACCTTCTAGCTCTGCTCTGCATCCCTTCGGCTTTTCCGTCTTGTATTTCTCCTCCCACCCCCTCTCACTGCGCCTTGCCAGTGCGGATACAGGACATGACAGTTGCGCCAGTGCTGACCCTCGCTGAGCCTCTTACGGAGCAGTGATACACTTCACTTGTAAGACAGAAGCAGCAATATGTGTTGTTGAGATAAGTGGTAAATAAGACAGTGGCTTAACAATATTTAATGACAAGGTTCACTTGGTTATTTTCTGCATAGAGGACAAAGTCAGACAAAATCATCAAGGAGACCTTTCCTTTGAGTCACAAGGTTCAGCGTGGACCCTTTTGCTTTCCAAACTCTTTCTCAGAGATGGCTGGAGTCAGTCTTGGTCCCAGACTTGGTCAGTGGTTTATATCTACAGAATTATGTGCACAATCAGTCAGAGATGCAACTTAGCAAAGTTTACATCATTTCAGCATGCTATTAGTCACGTACCAAGGGTCTGTTGTGGGTGAGGGATCAACCTCTTGGAGTAACCTCAGCCTCAAGGAGTAACCTTGGGAGGACTCCCTACTCAAGGGAGATGCTGGCATGCAGCCCGCTGCCAGGCAGGAGAGCTCAGCAGACCCTTGGGCTGCTCTCCCTGTATGGGGTAAGATGACTGACTCATAGTCATATTTGCTCACCAGCTGTATTTTGGTTGCTCAATTAACCCTTGGCTATTGTGCTATTGTCTCGCTGCCCAGATTTCAGTTTTGCCAGATGCAGCCATCACAACCACCACTGGTGGTTACTGCCCAGGCAGGGGTGAATGAGGGAAGTAAAAAGTGAAGTTGGGTCTTGAGCAAAGTTAGGAGTGAAAGGGCCGGGTTGAGCGCACTGCCACAGAGCCCCGGCGCAGGCGGGACTCCCAGCGAGGGGCCTCTGTGGGTGGCATGGGTGCAGAAAGCAGCATGCAGTGTGGTGGGAATAGAGGCGGGAACATGTCCCAGATTTTTCCTGGAACAAGGACAAACTTCTAGTTCGAACAAAGCCATGCAAGGACGACCCTGGTAAACTGGGCCATCTATTCCCTTTTTCACCTCGGGGTATGGGCTGGAGCTCAGCCGTGAGAGCTGGCATAAGGACTTGTAGCGCTTGCAGGCAGGGAGGAAGCTCTGGGGAGATGCTGAAGTGAGACAGCCGTTTCAGTCCATTTATCTAAATGCCTTCGGCCCGCTTTCTGCGGTGGGCAAAGCCATCACAGAGGGACAGCACAGCCAGATGGGCTCCTAGCAGGACCTTCTACTAAATTACTTTACAGCCTTGGACCTCCACCTTTCAAGTTCCCTTAAAAATAAGAAAAGCAAGGGGAGCGTGTGCCAGGTGGGAGGCGAGGCGGGAGCCCTCCTGGTGCCGCCGCCCCATGCTGCGCTGCTCGCGCTCTCTCTCAGCATTTTTGCTTCACTTGTTGCTCACAAGTTGTGGGAGGAAGGTCGGAGGCACCCGGGCAGCGGTGCCACCTCCCTCCGCCGTTGCTGTGGAAACGTGGGGACGAGCTATCCCGCCCGGGTCGGCCCCAGCCTTGCGCTAAAGCCTGCTTAGCAGCTCGCATTAAAAACGAGGAGAAAGGGGGAAAAGCGCTTGGTAGGGGGAAGGGTTATCAGGGAATTCATCCAGCCCATGGAGAAGGACCGCCATGCATTGCAAGCTGCTGGGGGCACGGTCGCCCGGAGACGGGGGTTTTGTTTGCCGCAAGCCAGCTGGGCTATTCACGGCATGAGCCGTGGCCACTGGTGCAGTTTTGCTGCGCTGGGCTCTTTGTGCATCCCTTTGGCGGCTGAACCTTGTGCCAGCCAGGGGCCCTGGGGCAGTGCAGGGCTGGGAGGTCGCTGGGAGGGTCTCCTGGGCTGCGTGTGCCCCCCTGGCAGGGCAAACAAGTTCCCTCTCCTGTCCCAAGGCAGAGGCTGAGCAGAGCAGAGAGCGGTTGTGAGAGAGCTGAGCCACTTTAGTCGCCTTTGTAACAAGTGAAAAAGGCCTCACAGCATGGTTGTTTCTGAAGGATGTTTCTTTGGGTGTTATGCCTTAAACTTAACACGAATGCACCCGTTCCTCCTGGGGGGCCTGAGGCACCTGGCTGTGAGCCCCAGCACTTGCAGAGATCAAAGCTCTTCAGGTAGGTTCAAGACAAAGCAGGCAGCCATTTAGACTTAAGATAACATTCTTCCTTTTTACAAGCGTCTCTCCCTTATCTCTGGCCTCACAAATAGCAGTGCTAAATTAGCTCTTTGCCTCTGGCTATTTGTCCATCGACCTCTGCTGTGCCCCACCAGGACTGCACACTGTCCCGTGCAGAACCAAAACAACAGCTGGAGCGAGCTGGGTGTCCACTGCTGCCTTTATATTCTCCAGGCATGTGGGGCACATGTACCTTATATGCACGTGATGGCCTCTGTAAGGATTGCATTTGGTTGTGCATGCTGTGAAAACAAGGTGTGTATTTAATATGCATATGGAATACATATAAATCTAGAATACTGTGATGCGAGGCCTATGTTTGGTGCAAGCTTTGGAGCCCACCGGTGATACCTAAGACTGATCCTGAACATGTATCTTGCCTGTGTCGTCTGAGCAGAAAGCATACATGTGTACTGTCAGGTACCATTCCAGCTATAAGCAGTTTGCACCTTTGATTCTTCCAGCAAATGGACTACAAAGAATGACATGAATTATCTGCGTACGTGTACATGAAAATGTTTCCATACAGTGGCAAAAACCCTATTTTGAAGTAATAAATGAGCAACAATTGTCTGAAGGATCGGCATTACATCTTTTGCTGAGGCTTCTGATGCATATCATGACTAATGATGTTACAGTGAGTACTAGAAAAGCTTTGATGAGTTGCAACTGGTTGCAAAACACCGCCTGAATTCAGAGTGTTTTTATTATGACTCCAGCAGGCTTCCTCGTGGATTTTTGATCTGTGGAAGCTCTGCTGAAACAGTGAGGACAAATGAGAGTGAGAATCTCTTTGATTATAATATCTTTCAAGGACAGACGAGAGGTCAAGGCGCTTGAGATACAGTTCATCATTGTGTCTGAGCACTGCCTAGTGCACTGCCTAGTGCAGGACCTGAAGCACGTGCAAGGAGGCTAAAGTAGCCTGCTCCCACATTTGCACTCACCTACCCACAGCTGTCTCCTATGGTCCATCCATGATAAATGCCTCTCTTTATAGTGCAGCTCTCATACTTCATGCATGTCTGGAAAAGCTAGCACGATCCTCATACTATATGAAAGAGCACATAGCACAGCTGCTGCGTATAGGGCTGTTCTGCTGATGCACAGATGCATGTAAATTATAGCTGAACGCGGTATAGGTATTTGCTGTGTGTTAGAAGAATCCCAGACATTCAGAGCCAAAACAAATAGGAACCAAACTGCCTTTGGGCTTAGATTTTGTTTGTATTCAGTTCTTTTATTCAGAATTAAAATAGGGCTTTGGGATTTCGTTGTTGTTATTCTTTTGCAAAGTGGTCCCAGGAAATTCTACACAAATCGTTCTGCGGTTGGCTTGCTTCACTTGGAAGTTGGCCTCATTCACACAATGCCATCAAACTGTGCATGGATCTTGAAGTAAGTGGCAGATACCCATAGTCATGCTTCAAGAATCCTCTCCTGAAGCTCCCTCTCCCACATGGAGAGCACCACCTGCCCATATTGAATGCATGTGGCTGACTTACCAAGGCCATGGGTAAAAGGCATTTTACATTCACTCTGTCTGCATCAGTCCATTTTAAAAGCAAAACAAATATCTGAGGGCTGCTGTGCATTTCCAGGACTTTTTAATGTATAAAGCATAACTCTTCTAGATACAGCCTTGCAGCCATGCCGAGGGGACCTCCCTCTTGTCGTTTTGTGCCTAGATTGAAAAAAACATCTTAAAAATTCTTTCCCCTGCCCTGCTGATAAAGATCAAAAGTAAGGACAGAGAAATGGCAGAAGTGCAGGATGACCTCTCGAAGTGATAGGAGCTCACTTAACAGAGTGCAAGTGGGCTGATGAGAAGGGGCCCGGAGGCTAAGGCAGGGGGCTGGGAAGTGTGTTTTTACTGCAGTAACCTCTCTCCTTCTTTTCCTCCTTCTATCTTTTCTAGGCAGGACAGGGCTGCTTGCTGATCTCTTGCCCAGTTTTGCTGTGGAGATTATGCCAGGTATTCAGCCATTTCACCCCTTTTTATCCAGTCCTCTGTCATCTTGTCTGTTTATCCCTCTGCAACATCTTTTATGTGGTGTGTGTTTCACTATTGCATGTGTCTTATCTGGGGAAGAAAAGAAAAAAAAGCTCTCGCTTATTAGGAAAATGTGCTGGCCGGAGAACTGAGAGACACTGCTGGGAGCGGAGGAGGGATGGTCATGCCGGGAGACAACATACAGAGATGGTTAAAGTCGTCCCTGGATGAATGCGAGGACAGGAGGGCTAGCACTGCCTGTGGGAGGTTTTACGTCGAGCTCTCTCCCTGTTAGAGCGAACGTTGCTCCGGTCCAACCTGCAAGACCTCAGCAGCCTCGTGTGCCCGTGCAGCTTTGGACGTCAACTGCTCTTGTGCAGTAGTGATTAACACCACCCACCGCCAACTTGGTGCTGCGGGTACTATTATAACAGCTACCACAGATGGGAGCACAGGAGGTGCTAGGAATAGAGCATGGGCTTAGCAGCCTGTCAGGGGCAGTTGCTCTTGTGCTGCACAGCCAGGGCATTACCTAGGTAAGACCAGGTGGTTTTGGACCAGGCATGAGCTCTCTGCTCATGATAAATCCCTAGGTAGGCAAACGAATTGGACAGCCACCAATTTTAGACACCTACCTAAAGAGGAAATAGACACTCAGCAACAGATGGTCCTTGAAAGGGAAGAGCTGTGAGAACATTTAGCCCTGGAGTCATCTGATCATCCCCTGACAGTACCAAAGGAGCGTTTCTTTCACACTTTTGTGTAAAAATGCAACTCTACATGAATGTGTGAAGCTTGGTAAATCTGTCCCGGAGATGCAAATGGAGAGAAGGCAAACATCCTCCAACCTCCAGTGTCACCTTAAGCTCCCTGCAAGTTTTAGCATGGCAGGAGAAGCTTTGGTCTTTTCAGCTTACACAGAAATTCATTTTCAGTTGCCCCCAATTTTTTTTTTTCATTTTTTCCTGAATGGATATGAAATTCTGCTATGTTGACGAGGTAGTTTTCTGGTACCCCCACTGCATATATATAAACAACAAGAAAGTGCAAAAGGCATTGCAAAACACGTTTCATCTGTTAAGATTACTGCTTACCTGAATAATCAAAATCAGATATACTCATGCAAGCACAAAATTGTAGCTTCCAGAGGACCCATAGCATTTCAACTCAGTAATCTTTTGAATCTCAGTGTCACAGGTTTGTATCTGGAAGGATGTAACAGAAGATAACAGTCGTCATAAAGAGGAAAGATTAGGGCATTGCAGACATAAATGCATGCGCTCCCAGTTTTGTAGTTAAAGGAAGAGGCAGCAGGCTCTTTTGCTGTAATCTTCATCTCATGACAGAAGCAAATGCTCTAACTTTCTATGAAGCAAAATGCTTCCGGATTCATAGATCCCTGTGATTGAGACACTGGTTTCAAACACCCCCTTCTACTGTAGAGTGAATATCTTGCAATGCACAATGTGCAAACTACACCTGGCCTATCTTTATGCTCCTGGAACACTTACAGAAAGACCACAGATTCCCTTAAAATGGACTTTGTTTTTAGTTCCTGCACCAGGCTTTCATCCTTTATGGTGTAATGGTGAACAGGTCACCAATAGCTCTAGAGATCTGACAGCTGAGCTTTACTGCATAGCTGTGGCTGGTCACATGTGCCATGCGATACTATTTCAGCCCCTCTTATAAGTGATAGTCGAAGAGAACAAGTGAGAACATGGCAAAGGAAAAGCCACTGGGCTTTAGCTGGCTCAAGGTAGGATAGCGTGATAATCTCAAGATTCCCTTGAGATTAGGAGGTGCACGCTTGGAAAGGATAGTCTGGCTCACCATCTTGCTTGCTATCCCAAGCACCATGTAATTTCATCCTTTTCATAAGATTAGCAAGTTTAAGAGTAGTAAGGTTTTGGCCTTCCCCTCTCTCACTGGATGGTTTTCTTTGATGTGCCTCTTCTAATTTTCATCTGCTCTTATTCACAGTTTGTTAAATACCCATTTATTTGGGACCTTTAACTATAATACCTACTTTTTTCCTCCTGCTGTTCATACTCACAGCATATTTACAGGCAAGAGCTACGTAGACACTCTGCTTTCTCTTCAGTAGACTATTGCAGCCATTTTTTTTTCCCTCTTGTGCAAGGCAGACTGTCTAGTTGCTTGATGACCCTAAAATCCATGCTCTGCATCTGCTCCAGCTTGCATTCATCTTTTCTTGCATAGAGATGACCAAAGCTGCATACCGTTGTTAACTTCTTCTGAAGTTACATGGAGACCTTATACAATAGCATTAATATTTCCTTCTTGCCACCAGAAATCCCTCCTCTACTACACAAAGGATTAAATTTGCTTTTTTTTTGTTGTTGCTCTATCATTTAAGTAGTTATAGTATTATACATGGACTAGTATGCCCTATCCATTCTTCTCTTTTTCAGTTGTTTAAAGTTTTATCAATTGGAAGTTGTTGTTGTTAAACTTTGAATGTATGACCTTAAAATTTAGTATTGCTGAATTTCATGCTTCTTATTGTAGACCCAATAACAGCTGGCCCTTTCATAAGATAGCCCAATCCTCATCTTTATTGACTGTGTTTTCCTAAAACCCTTCATACTCAAGTTGTATTAATATATTCCAAGGTCATTCATGAAAATATTAAATAAGATGGCTCCCAGAACCATTGCTTGAGGAGTGCATTAGTAATCTCATTTCAGCTGTTACTTTTCTCTTCAGAAATGTGTCCCTTCTGGCATTTCTCTATTCATTAGCTGATTTCTTTTCTCAACAGATAGTTAACTTAAAGAGTAATTTCACAAGGATCAAAATCCGTTGCAAGTTGAAATGAAATTCAGCTGTTTCTGCTAAAAAAGGAATAAATATTCAAAAAATAAAAACATTTCACTTCACACTTCTGAAATATTTTGACTTGTAAATGCCAGATCTTTCACTGACTTTTTTTAAAGGAAATTGTAACTTTTAAATTAAATGCCATTAAAAAAATAATAATTTGTAAAGGAGATAAGGAAAGTTCCAACAAAACAAAGCATTTTACCTTTGTTCAAGCAAAGTGCCATAGATAATGAATCAAAAATGAAAATTTGTCATTTTTGCTTTTTATTAAGAACTAGAAAAATGTTTGTTTTGGTAGTTCCAGGACAAACATTTTTTCCGTGTCTTTTCAGCTCAGTGACCAGATTCAAAAGTGCACTATTTTCTCACTGTGATTGTGTACCCACGTTGCAATCCTTGTGTAAAACAGGCTTCAACTTAAATAACAATATCTTAGGACGCCTTCCAGTTTGGGAAGAGTGGTCTGGTTCCTTTTCTTTTCATGTTTTTTTCTCTTGGTATTTGCCCTAACACACCACAGACCAGTCCCACTACTACTGTATTTTCTTTCTTAGTGCCTTTTCGAGCGATTATTCCCCCTTAGGCATCTGCAATCTCTTCCCACAGATTTTTCTTGTTGCCAGGGGTATGAATTTTAGATAGGTTTCTGCATCTCTGATTTAAAACCAATTCAGGTCTCTTATACACACAAAATCAGGAAGTTTCTTGGTCAGGGGATGTTCACTGACTGTTCCTTTGACCCAGGGAATCGCACGCGCAGTGGTAGGTGCACCCCTGTGCACACAGTCCTTTACAACGCACGAAGTGGCCCAGAACTGGGAGCTGCCCTGGTTTGCGTTGAGCACCCGCTCACACCGTCACTGGTACTGCTACAGATTTCCTGGCAGCAAAGCCTGAACCATTTTCTGGCTCCCTTTCCCATGTAACGTGAACGGAGCCCATTTAAACCCCAGCCTGATTTGTGTGGACCAGCTCTTCTGTGCTGTCACTTGCGTTTTTCAGTCATTCCATTTTGGAGCTTGGAGCATTTTGTCTGAGGCATCATCACAAGGAAAAAAATGGTTGTTAGGTTTCCTGGCTGGCTGCAACGCCTGAATAGGATGTTCTTTCAGCACATTCAAAAGAATAATTGCCTGCGTGGGCCTAGTTGTGAAGGGGCAGGCCTGGCTCATTTACTGAGTTATTTATAGCATGCTTTGCACCGTCGTTTGTCCCACTAAAACTAGAATACGGGTAGAGAGCAAACACACAAGCAAGGCATGAGCATGGCCAGGATGAATGTGTCTTTGATGGGAGCCAAATGTTGGGGGCGCACGCCCTGTGGCGTTCATACAGCTCTGCTGTGGGGCCCGTGGGTTTCTGTGCCGCTCACCTCCCGGGCAGCCCTCCTGCCCTCTCAGAGGCAGTGGGGAGGACCACATTTCAGTAACTGGTTCTCACCGTGGTGTGTCCTTTGTGCCTTGACACAGGATGGGATGTAGTCCTATGCAAGGAGGGAATCTGCTCCCTTTAAAGCCCCACTTATCTGCTTTGCCTCTGTATGTCTGGGGAGAGGAGGATGCTGCCATTCTCTTCTAGAGGGGAGTGCAGTCTGCCAAGTATGTCTTTTTTCTCCCTTTCTTTTCCAGAATGGGTCTTTGTGGGCCTGGTGATCCTTGGGGCGTTCCTGTTCTTCCTCCTGGTTGGGATCTGCTGGTGCCAGTGCTGCCCACACAGCTGCTGCTGCTACGTCCGCCTTCCCTGCTGCCCCGAGTCCTGCTGCTGTCCCCGGGCGCGTGAGTGACCCCACGCGAGCCTGAGGCAGCCCTCCAGCTGCACCTCCTTTGCTCCCCGCCAGCGCAGGAGAGGCAATCTGCTCAGGCAGCCCCCTTTGCCCTGAGCGTTTTGCCTGACTACAGAACGAGTTCCCGGGGAGCAAAGCATCTGACCCGGTGTTGGACGGCTGAGTGCTCAAAGTTAATTACAAATGTATCTGCCAAGCCCTCCCCGCCTCGGCAGCCGGGCCGTGTTGCAGAAGTGTCGTGATCCCCTACCAAAGTTGTCATCCTGTCAGCGAGTGTTGCGGAGGCAGCGCCGAGCACATCCTGGGAGGTGTCTTCCTGACACTGCAAAGCAGCTGCCCCGTACACCAGCGTAAAATCTTTACAACCCGTCAAGGTTCCCAGTTAGACTCAGGCAGATCTGTCAAGTTTCATGAGCCTCATCCCTGCAGCTTGAGTCATCGGTTGTTTTTAGAGTTGAACTGCCACTAAACTGTGACAGCGGTAATGCAGGCTGTAACACACCGAATGTCTTCCAGTCACGGCAGCTTGGAGCATTCACCCGACAAGTTAAGCTGCCATAGCATTTTTTTAGACTTCCCCCTTGTGCCCTTTGAGATATAGAGAAGTTCAGGTTGGCCCTTTTGTCTTTTGATTTTGGGTTGTCCCTAAGGTTGTGTGCAGTTTTCCTGGGATCAGGGGAGACTGGTGTGATGCTGACGGCTGCTTTTTTTCTTTTTTAGTGTACGAAGCAGGCAAGGCCGCGAAAGCTGGATACCCTCCTGTGGTCTCCTCCATGCCAGGTCCCTATTACATCCCCACTGTTCCTGTTGCTGGTGTACCCTCTCCTGCTGTGCTGAGGGATAAGTCGCACCCCCCTCCCTTGGCCCCGAGTGAGACCAGCGGAGGAAGCCAAAATGGTAATTTGCACCACTAGGAAGTGTGTACCCTTGACTGGGAGCAGGACTGGGAAGGGGAGGCACAAATGGCACTGAAAGAGTGGTATGAGCAGAAGAAATCTAGAGCAACTGCATTTTAATCCTTGCGCTGCCACTAACATTTCCATCCCTTAGGACTACATGGACCAACTTTTCCAATGTCATCAGACAAGTATCAGTTTGAGGGGACCCAATTACACCAATGGGATTTGGAAGTGTAGGATCCCTCCCTACAGCAAACTTTTATTTCTTTAGGATAAAGATGGTTGCAGAGGGAGCAGAAGCAGTGGCTGTTTTCCCTGTAGAGCCTCGCAAACTGCTCTTGCTGCTCCAAGTAGGGCACTGCTTGCCCTCCTCTGGCAGTGTTTTTTGCTGCAGTGTGTTTTGCTGTCCCTGTGGCAATTTGGGCACACAGGGAATGTTTCCTCTGCCCTTCTGCCCCAGGGCTGTTGGGGCTGGACCCTCTCTGCAGCCTCATGGCAGCCAGTAGGCTGCCTTGCTAGTTCAGCCTTTGTGTTTGTAGAGTGTGGGCAATAAAAGCCTAGCAGCTAGAAGGGAGATACGGATCAATACGGATGTGCCAGGTGAGCCAGATGACCTGATGAAGGTCGCTTCTCAACTGCAAAGGAAGCCACCTTCCAAGAAGAGGAATGTGGCTATATAACCACATCCAGCCACTCTTCAGGATCAGAGTGCTGCCTAAATTCAAATGTGCTGCAGTGGGAGAAGTGACCCTCACCAAGACAGAGTCATCCGTAGTGTTGGCCTTGTCCTGCTGACACAGTATGTTTGCTATTGATCCAGCTGCATGGACAATTTCAAGACACTTCATTAATTCTCAAGTGTTAACTTTGGTCATAGCAGTGTGGTGGTAAGACATTCCTAAAAAGGCACTATGAAGTAGCATATTCAAAAAATAAAGCTTTTGGGATAGCTTTCTACATCTTTCCCCTGCCCCTGTCCCAGTCAGTATAGTAACCTTTTTGGAATTAACAAAAAAAAAAATCCTTCAATAATCATATATTTTTTCCCACCAAAATGACAACCAGGGTCTGTAATGGACCCCTTTGAAATAGGCAATCAGTCACTAACCCAAAACAGAATATATCCAATGCAATATTCAGTGTCAGAGATTGAGGAAGGTCAGAAGTTTTTTTTTTTTTTTTTTCCTTTCTGTAATATAGAACTGACTGCATATAGAACATGGGATTAGCTTTGGGAACTTTAGAAATGTTTTAAGAATCCGATCACAGCCAAACACTCAGCTTTTCTGACTTTAGTAGCAGAGCACACGTACAGAATGAAAAAAACTGTGGATATGTTTGAAAAACAAATGGAATGTGTCTTCCACACAACATCTCATAATTATTACATAGACAGAAGTATTTATTATTTAGTGTGGCCCAAACTGGTAGGACTTGGGTCCTCAACACAGAACTTGACAGGAAGTCCTAAATATTTCCAGGAAAACCATTATTACACACTTTTGAGTGTCGTGGCAGCAGAATAGAGGTTTTTTACCTTTGCTGATTCGTATTTAATGCAGCAACACTGACAAACCCTCAGTCTGGATCAGGTTCCTGGTGGCTAAGGGACTGTACACAACAGATGTTCCTTGAACTGTGGAGCTAAAGAAGATTGATATCCTGCACTGTCTTTTAAGGTTCTCCATAAAGCCAGAATATTCCCTAACTGCAGGTTGTAGAAGAGAAAACACATTCTGTGGCTATTCCAAGCTACTTACTTGCTAGCTGCCCAGACAGTGAGCTAAGTAAAACAGGTAACGGTTTAGCTTATAATGACCACTTTTGTCCAGAAGGAGCACTAATTGTGGCCTTTGCATCCTCCACACAGCCGGTGTAGGCTTGATCTGAAACTTGTGAAAACTTGATGTCTTTGAGACCTCAATCCTGCTGTCAAATTTATTTAAAAATGGTCAATGGAGTCTTATAGAAGTTGCAGGTTCTGTAATCCTGGTTCCCAGGCTAAAAATGGCAGCTCCTGCCCTAGATAGCTTCTGTGCTTAGAAACAACCCCCATGAGGTTATCTAGTCAGCAAACAAAGGCATTTTGGAAGTTTTCTTAGAGTTATGTAAAAGCCATGTGACCAAGCAAGGATTTTCCTCAGTTTAGACTGTAATTGGTAATCAGTACTGTGTCACCATCAAAACAGCAGGTCTCTGCCTTCCCTTAACCGCAAGGAAGTCCCAAGGACGTGTAGGAACTGAGTCCTAAACTTAGGACTAGATGGGAAAAAAAAAAAGAAAAAAGACCCTTCCGTCTTTCTTATTTAGGAGTTTTGGCAACATGTAAATTAGATGTGTGCTCTGCATATTTTAAATGCAGTAGTTACAGGTGAGACCTTTGCATAGTTTCCTTGAACCACGCAGACAGGGAAGCTTTTGATCTGAGAGCTGGACTCTAGACCTTTGATGTGGAAGGTGTTTAAGGTCTCTCTTACTTCCTAACCATACTTGTCTGAAAAAAAATAGTAGTGCTGACCTTTCTGGGGAGGGAAACAATCTGCAGTTTTGGCTGTCTTGGTTCCACCCACAGAGGAATTAAGTGTCTAGCATTACACAAATTAACACACAATTATACAGTACTAGAAATTTATGAGCTCTTCCTGGGGAGAAAATGTGGCCTAATGGAGAAGAATGTTCCATTTCCACTGACTTCAGCGAATGATTCTTAACCTCTTTTCATCTTCATTTTCTTATAATTAAAATCAGCCTAAAAATATTCAGCCCTTATTGAAATATTTTGGCATTTTACAGATGAGCGTGCAAGGGAGAAGCCCTAAGAATTTGGGTTCTTTAAATGAAGGAATAATAAAAAGAATCAAGACATTGAACATTCATTATCATTGCAAGAAGTATTTGATAAAGTTAGATGCAAAATATGCATTATTTATAATGGAAATTACTTTTTATGAGGTGCTCTTGGTCATTTTTTGCAGATTTAATTCCAATGTTAATTTCTAAATGCTCAGAGAGTTAACCAAGAGATTAATTTTCCTTTTGATACACTGCTGCAATAGCAAGTTGAGCATGAAGTTAGCGTGAAGCCTAGCTAATTCTCCATCAGTTCCAGGAGCTATAGATGTTGCCTAAATAAATGTCTGGCATAGCCCTAGAGTGAGTAGCAGCTCTAGGGAGACAGCCTCTAGGGAGCTGCCAGTTCAGGTTCCCCAAAGGTTACTAGTAGGTCAAAATCATTTCCAGCTGATGGTTGTCTGTTGGCCCGTTTAAAAATGAGGTGGTAATTTAGCTGCACTCCTAGTACACGCATTAGATGAAATAACAGGCCTCTTTCTTTCTGGCAGTCATACGTTAGGTGAAATAACAGTAACAGGCCTCTTTCTTTCTGGCAGTCAGCCCCGATGGTAAGGCAGACTGTGGACCTCGCTTGGCTGTTGCTGCTGTGCCAGCTCTGTGAGCACAGGAGGAGTCATCACTTCTCCGGCCGGTCAGGGCAGCCTGTCTTTGTACCAGCAACCTTGCTTAAACAGGCATGATGGTCCTATATTTCAGAAGGCAGCGGGAAAGTTTCTTGTGTTCTGCAAATCACTGTGTGCATTTACAGTCATTCTGTGCACACTGGTGGTAATATTAAAATGCAGCAAAACTCCAGACTGCAGGTAGCTGAGCTATCTGGATATCCTCTGGAGACACAGCGAAAGCTTAAGCCTGCTAGACCCATACTATGTCTTAACATCTAATACTTTTCCTAAGTATAGATAGACAAGATACCTTTCAAGATTTGGTTATTTACCTTACAAACACACAATGAAAACACACAGGAAAGCATTTTCCATTTCACAAGTAAGGGAATCTGCAGGATTATTACAGGCATCTTCCACCCATTTCTGTAGCACAGGCATTTCTTGAAGCAGAGCATTGCTATTAAGTAGTGCACAGAGACAGGCACAGCAGTTTAGGACAGAAGGTGCCTAAGAATACTTCTGCCAAGTCCTTGCTCTGCCCACACAGTGCATACCATGCCACGCACCATCAAACCCATACGTTGGTGGCTTAATGTATCAGGATGCAGGCTAAAACGCACAAGGAACAGGTTGGATCATGTTGTTAATGTATCAGGATGCAGGCTAAACGCACAAGGAACAGGTTGGATCATGACAGCAGTGCTCATGCAACACTACAGTACTCACACAAGATAACATGTTAAGCCTGTGCAAAGCACAGGGGTTCATTTCATAGTGGTAAGTGGAGAGTCTCCGTAGCTGTTTTCCAGTGAGGGTGAATTTGAGGGCTAGATTTGTAGTCCTGTTCTGAAGGTTGACCTGTGTTTCTGTTGGTGCTCGCACAGCCCCAGGCTGGGGTCTTTGTTAAATCTTCTGCTCTGGAAGCTGTAGCCTCTCGGAGGTTGGGGTGGCTGGAGTTCTGTGCCCGCTGAATGTCTGCCTGTCCTGAGGTAGCCAGGGTTCACAGGGTTACAGGGCAAGTGTGCAGGGAGCCAACCTGCCAGAGTCAGAGCTCCTGTGGCTCCAAGTCTCTAGGGGCCTCTCTTCTGCACACCGAGAAGAAGGCGATAAAACCAAACTGCTGCCCAGTCCTCCCGTGCAAATGGAGTAATCAGCACATAAAAAATGCCAGAGCAGGCAGTTTCACAGGCACCTAGTGACCTGATTGGCCCCATTACTGGATCTGGTGTAAATCTCCAAGCGGTGTGACTTGCCATATGGGACCTACTGTATTTCCATGGAGCTTCTCCGACTACATGCTCTGCAACCCATGTGAACATAATTTGCAGGGATGAGGAGGGTGGAGTGGTGCAGCAGAGCCGCAGTGCCCAGATACTCAGCCCTCCACTCCCCAGATACTCAGCCCTCCGCTCCCCCTGCACACTGGGTGCTCGCTGCCCCTTCTGCACAGAGGAAGCCTGATCTGGGACTGCACTTCCCATACCATGACAGATCTGTGCAGTGCTAAGGAAGGGGACGTGAGTGCTACTTTTCTCCTCGCTATCCCCTAAATGAGGGAGAATCACTGTGTCAGTGGCACCATTTAGTGCATCTTTTCTTCCAGACTGGGCATTTCCAAACCCATCTTTTTGCTGTTGCTGCAAACTTTATAAATTACATAGCTGCTCACAACTTTACATTCCACTTTACAGACAAGTGTCTTCTGGAGCAAGGGCTGGCTTGTTTTGTTTTGGAAGGTACAGCTTACCTACTTGCAGACTTGAACTCAGCTATAGAAGCAATGTTTTCTGAAAGTCTTGTTGGACTTAGACGTGTTCACTTCAAAATGCTTTTCTTTTCTCCCCAGCAGTGCGCAAAGGATACAGAATCCAGACTGACAAGGAAAGGGACTCCATGAAGGTGCTATACTATGTTGAGAAAGAACTTGCTCAGTTTGATCCAGCTAGGAGGATGCGAGAACGATGTGAGGAACAAGCACGGTTTGGGTTTTTTTTCTTAGACCTGAGAAAGACTCTGCAAACTCATAGTTAAAATTGACAGTTCACTGGTTTGGCCTCAAAGCCTCTTCTTGGGTTTACAAGAGGAAATGGATAAAATTTAGATTTTAGGCATCAGTGGATATGTTCTGATTATGAAGAGTTGTTGCTTACCTAGTCATCCTTCATTAGTACGAACAAGGTATGGGAGACAAGTGCTCATGAAAATCAGCTACTTGGGTAGCTTTTGGGTCACCAGTGTCTGAAAAGTCAGGTTCATACTCATGCCTTCTCCAGCCAATAGCTGTGTTAATAACAGGGATTTTGTGCCCATGACTTCTAGTCTTACAGGGTGGTGCCGGTGAATTCCGAACAGGGGGATAGGAGGAGGTGATTTTTTTTAAAGCTGTTTTGTTTTGGGGGGCTGCAATGACTGCAGTAGGTTTCGAAGGATGGGAAAAGGTAGTTTGGATTGGCTATTGCCTTGCAAAGGGAGCAAGGAGTACAGGATACATTGAGGAGCCAAGGGGATTTTTGGGAGGTTTTAGAGCACTGGTCAGTGTAAGATCAGAGCTAGTGTATGCATCAGTACTCATGGGCTGGCAGTCAGCTGCAGGGGAAGGGGAAGAAGGTGGTGATAGGGGCATAATACAGACTCAGAATTGAGCTTCCATGTGGAACTCCTCACTGTGTTCCCACAGTGTCTTGCAGGTTTTTTTTTTTTCAATAAACAAAGCATGCACTTACTGCATCCAAGTGAAGGTCTTTCCACACGATGAGGTGGAGGTGCAGCGGTGGGACGGGCTGGGTCCTCCAGCTGTTGTGCACACAGGTGACAGCAGTAAGCTGGAGGCTGACACATGCCCAGCACAGTTCCTCAGGGCAGGATCTGCCTCATGCAGAGCTAACCCGTATCAGGTGGAGACACTTTGAGAACAGACGCCTGAGATGCTGCAAATCTAGGAAGGTAGAAGCTTTAGGGAATGGCATTACATCAAGACTCTGTATAGATTAGGCATAACTAACAAATTATATGTATTTCTAAAACAGTCATTGCTGAGCACACTGTCTTCTCCACCCACAAGATTTACTATAAAAAGACTTCTCCAGATTGGTATGTCAGGCCTCCAGATGTCAGTGTGTTTGACAGGGTAGAGACTGACTGTCATTCAGTCTTTTTCTTTCTTTTTTTTTTTTTAATCTCTTTTTGAGGGGGTTGGTTTTGTTTTAGCTGGGCAAGTCAGGCCAAATCCAGAGCCAGCCTGTCTCACACCAGCAAGGGGGAGGCGGCACAACTGTTGTGGTGCAGTTCCACCAAGCAGAGCGCCTACTTCTCAAGGGAGGAGAGCTCACACATGTTACTGAAGCAGCACTGAGGACTTCTGCATGAGGACTGAACTCAGTTGCCTAAGCAGAGGCACCAGGTGCCATTTGATATACCAGTATAATATTATCACCTGGCCACCAGCTACCCGCTCATAAGGGCATGGAGTCTCCTGTGAGCTCAGTAACAACTCTACATCCAAGCTGAGACCCAGAGGTCTTTAGCAAGAGTTTGGAGAAGGGTTTCGGATTCCATTTTTATCTTTTTAATGGGAGGCTGCTCAGCTTTTTTTCTGAAAAAGCTGCAGCCAAGATTCCTGTCCTCTCTTTTTCCCTCACACACACTGTTGAGTGAAGGATGTTTCATTCTTTTCTTGCAACGTCCCCTACAGATAACAACACCATCTCTGAACTCAGCTCTTTGCATGAGGAGGACTTGAACTTCCGGCAGCCTTACCGTCAAGTGCGAAGGAAACCGCTTCCTCCTTCAGGGGACCTGGATGGGGATGCTGAATACTGGGCAGGAGTGATTGGTGGGGGCAGCACATCAAGGTCACAGGCTGTCCCTGATTACAGAGATGAGAGGGACAGTTACCGGCACAGGTAAGGAAAGGAGACGAGTCAAGTGTACTTGTAGTTTTCCCACCTTTCCTATTGCTCTGGTTCTGTCTAATAGAATAGAGGTGTTCACAATGGCGATATAGAAACTGGAGAGGACAGAATCAATCTGATTCCTGCAAGTCTGCTGAAGCTTGCCTAGTTGGGCCAAGCTAGATGCTAATCCCCTTCTAGTTGGGATGTAGCAGTGAGATCAATAGGAAGCCAAACGACCCTCTTCAAAGTGCACTCCTAGAATTTGTACCCGTTCCTTCCAGCAGCTCTCAGTGCTGGTACACTTTGTTAGGAAGCACAACCAAGTGCTGTGTTGCAGCAAGACCTGCACTCCCTGCCTAGAGCAGAGATTTCACTTCCTTCTTCCCTTACACACCTGCAGCCCAGTTCCCAAAAAGCAATGGCAGACATTTTTTTTCCCTCAGTGGTGGGCTATAGCGTCAGATAAGTCCCTTTACACCTGCTTCAGAATTGCCCTACTCTGTGCTTCTGTAGTCAGGTTCTTGGGCTTCTCCAGGTGGATGTATGCAAACAGGCTTGGGGACAAGGAGAGACAAGGGAGGCACAAACAGGGATTAATCTCAGCTAACACTAGAACTGTCCTAGCCACACTAAACTGCCTTAACAGTCAGTGGGAAGAAGCAGGCATTTTTAGGATGTTATACATCTCTTCCTACAGCAGATGTTGAAAACAGGTCAGATGAATCATGCCTCAGGAGTGCCT